TTATGATTTCGCCCCCGTTGTGTCTCACATCGTAGCTCTTTGTTACCACCATCAGATTCACGTCTATGCAACAGAGCTGCACTTGTGAGCAAACCAAAAGTCTCGAAAAGAGGCTGGTCCTCTCCGCCGACACACGTGACCGCTCGCGGTTACACAAACAAGGGAAAAGTGGCAATTTTTACCTGTGATTGTTTTGGATCCCTTATCTTTTTTTCCCCTTCTAATGTTTAGGAAAAGTTTAAAGTGGGAAACATAGCACGTAAACACACAAACACACAGTCTAACTCTTTTGTTTTTATGTTGCATAATACAGAAGAAAACTGTTTTTACGACACTAATGATGCCAGTAACAGTCGCTGTTGGGGAGGACAGTTTACACTGAGCATGTGCAGTTTAAAGATGCCTTTTATTTTTAAGGAGGAAACCATTTTGAGCTGCTAGCTGTCCAGTTTAAAATCTATAGTGAAGCACTTTCTGATGTCTTCTTATTCCTTTTCAGTATTGTGGATGTTTTGTTCAATATTTCCTGTTTGATGTTTGTTTACCAGCCGTATTGGTATCAATACTTCCTGTTATTTAGCCGTAAATAGCCATTGTAGTGTCTTTGATTGAGATATGACTTGTCGATCGTATTGATAGTTTACAGAGAGCTTAGAGATGGATATCTGTGCAAGTAATGGCACAGCTTTTTTTTCCCCTTTTTTGTTTTTAGAATTAGGATTTTAAGAAAACAAAAGCAATTAAACTGTAGCTGAATCTGATCAGAGGAAAAGAGGTATCCGTCAGCCGTGACGCTGCGTTCTCGTTGATCTCCTTGAGATCTGAATGACATCAAACTTATTTTTGAAGTTTGCATTTACCCTGTTGTATTAAAAGAATAACTAAAGTTTCTTTTCCATTAGAGATTTTTTTGTTAACCTGTTTACTGGTCTTGATTATGCATCAAGTCAGAATCTGACATTCTTTTTTTTTTTTTTTTTAAAAGGACGTAAAAACTCCCACGTTTTACAGCGTCGGCTATGCGGAGGCTGCCAGGCGTCATATTTACACACCCATGGATGTTTAACTGTATTTATTGTGTACAAATAAATGTGAAATAAAGATAGCTTAAATGGAACAAGACTCTGTTTTAACTCTTAATTCCTGCATCCACCTGTTTAAAATATATTATTTTAAAATAATGTGTTACATGACTACACAGAAGGATGTTTCAGCTCCATTTTAAGTCT